CACACACACACACACACACACATTTTCTCATTTTTCTTTTTATATTTTTCTTTTATTGTATATTGTATATAATTATTTTTGTTTTGTTTTAATGAAATAAAAATTGAATTGAATTGAATGGATTTTTTTACATTTCGTTTTATGTAATATGTAGATGCATAGGGGAGTTGCAAATATGTAAAATGAACCATTTTCATTTTAGATGTTGATTATGCTTGTTAAGACAAATAGAAAAACTTACATACAGAAAAAAATGCTTCAAGCTCTTTAATAAAAATGTTCAACTTTAAACCAGGTCAGTTTGACCCGCAACACAACAGGAGAGTTAATGAACTGCTATAACCTGCCTTAATAATTGATGCACTGCAGGATTACTAGATAGAAAATTCAAACTTTCTCTAACTCTAATTTGTGGGTTTTTAAGCATAAAAAAAACAAAGCATGTGTTGGTTATGGAAGTAATTAGCCTTTATGGGTTAATCATTAATTAATGTGTTCATACAGCTTAATAAGTATGAATCATCCTTAATTAATGATGTTTCAAGGTTAATTAACCATTTATTAAAGTTTCAGTAAAGCTAAATAAGGTGCAGTTATTATAAAGTCTTTGACAAACCTCTTTTATATGCTTCAACATCACATCAGCATACAGGTCAAAACGAGGTGCGCTGCGTTGTTTGGCTTCCTCCACGGCTTGAAGCACCATGGCCTTTACTTCTGGATGATCCTCTGTCACTAAGAAGAGCAGGAACCATTTATTGCATGTTCTCATGCAACATGCTGCAGTGAAACTCACTGCAACAGACGTGTAATAAATTTAATAATATTTTACCTTCTGCAGAGCTGGTTTTATCTGTTTGAATCAAGAGAAAAACATTAACTAGCTGTGGGACATGTTTACATTTTAAAAATTGCCAAACTAACCCAGATTTTGCTCATCCTCTTGCTCCAGCTTCATTTGGATTTTCTCTATAGCCGCCTGTGTTGTCTCCTTTTGGATTTTGTCCAACCGTTCCTGTTCAGCCTTGGATAAAAGCGGCTGCGACAGCTCCTCCGCGTCGAGCACCACAGCGCCGTAGTGCCGGGCAAGAAGGCCACACACGGTTCTCCTCCCAGCCTGACGAGGCCCAATGATAGACACCTTGCAGGGGGGTCTGGGCATCGGAGGGAGTAAGTACGGTCGGGGGTTCGTGACAAACTTGTGGTAGGCCTCCTGAGACGAGAGGATGTACATCTTGTCCTGAAAGCTGGACAATGGTTCAGAAGAGAGTTGTTTTTACCGTTGCAGTTTTTACAGGCAAGAAGATGCGAACGAGCGCCTACCCCACAGAAAATTCTGGTTTGCCAGGAATGAGCTTGCCCTCCTTCAGGGCGACAGGGCAATTTCGGCCCCAGCGGCTCCTTCTCCACCGAAAGCCCGGCGCCACCGTCTTAGAGGAAGACATGACTCTCAAAAGGCTGTCCTGTTGACGTGATGAAAACCTGATTAGTCCATGTTTACTGAACATATTCGCTTTCATTTTACAACCAGTGGCGGATCTAGGATTTTTCTGAGTAAGGGGCCATCAAGGGGCCACTATATTTATGGAGGGGCCAAGTATTATATACTATATATATA